ATGGTTCTGCTCAGAATTGCATGGTTCAGCCAGTGAGTGCACGCTCTACTCTTGCTTGGAATCCACATCCACCACCTGCTCACTGTGGCTTCATGTATCTTTGATTGGGTACCTGAAGGCAGTCAAGGTGCGGTTCCTTGCCCAGGGGAATAATGCGCCAGCCCGTGGCTTGAACCCTCGAATTCAGATTGTCGTTAGTCTTTCAGTCCAACGCTTTAACCACTCGTGTTAGCCGCGATATGTTTATATGCGCACACACACATACATACACACACACACACGCACATATATATTAGTCCTGGGCAGTGTGTTAAACTGTACTCCGGGGTTCAAGGATAGGACTCTATAATTCCCTGTGACAGGATAATGGTGAAGCTGCTTAGTTCAGGGTAGTGGCAGAACGCGTTTATCAATGGAATTGGTAGTTCACAGCAGATGCAGAATATGTCTGGCGGAAGTTTAGAGATAGTATTCCTAGTATGATGGAACTGCGAGTAAAGAAAAAACTTGGGGGGGCCTTTACTTTGCTTACTTTATGACTCCTGATCACATCCTAAATATGACTGTTTGGCTGATCATCCCCATGATAATTCCATTTCATGAATGAAAAGAAGAAAAAGAGCAAAAGAAAAAAAATATATGGTCATGGAGAAAATGGATGCCATGAAAGACCTGTGGTAGAACAGAACACTGGAAGATTAGGTATATATACATATACATATATGTGTGTTTGTACTTATACATATATATACATTTATATATGTGTGTATATATGTGTACTTATGCATACATATATATATACATATATATACATACATATCTGTGTGTCTATGTGAGTGTGTGTGTATGTGTTTATGTGTGTATGTGTGTGTGCGTGTGTTTATGTGTATGTGTGTGTGTGTGATTGATTTCAAGCGTAGGGATAAGAGATGTTCATCCCAAAAGGTAGATGGAAGAAATATTAAGAAACGAGTCTTTAAAGGCTATTTCAATAAAATAATTGATGATTAGAAAAAAAAGTGAAAACCTATTTTTTTCTTTTATTGTACTACGTAATACACTTATGGAAAATAATACAATGTGACTGGCCACATGTTATTCTTTGTCTACACTGTAATAAAAACTCAGAGTATACGTCATAGTTAATCCTGAAAGTTGTATGATAACCCAGATAAGGAGTGAGATAAAAAAGGTTAAAGTTTATTCAATTACGTGGAAGGTGAATTTTTATGTGTGAATGCGTAATACCTAATGTGTGTGTGTGCACATATATATGAAAGTCGTTACAGTTTTTCACTTAGGCGTCGAACAGTCAAAACGAAAAGCTAGACTAATACGGCCGTGATTAATTACATGTTTATTTGCAAACGTTTCAAAGATAAATCATATCTCCGTCATCAGTGCTGTAATAGTGAACCAAAAATAACATTAGACAACAGAACAAAATTAATTAAAGAGGTTCTCCATATCAAAATTGGTAGTGAGATAATTCGAACAGGAACGAGATCAATAATAGCAACAAAATCTGAGCAAAAAAAAAGTTGGCGATCATGGATTGTGCAAGTAACAGGTCCTGTGCAGGATCATCCTGTGGGAATCAAGCCAAGTGGCCATATAGCCTGAGTTGGCGATCACGGATTGTGCAAGTAACAGGTCCTGTGCCGGTCTCACGGTGTAGCTGTTGGTTGAACACATGGTCCCGCCAACTGTACCCCATGATCCGATGCAAGGATCTGTTACAAAAGGTATCAAGACGAGATTCCAAGGCACAAGATAGCGTCTAGCTTTCACTACCATATAGTAAAACTGGCAGTATCAGGGCCTTGAAAACACGTAGCTTGGTCCTTCTGCACAGGTACCGGCATCTCCAAATGCTCTTGTCGAGAGATTTCATGACCCCTGCTGCCAGGTTTGACAGCCCAGAGACGTGAACTGCACTACCAAGGTATATAAAGCTTTTGGTAACTTCGATGTTTTCGCCGCAAGCACGTAACGACTGCACAGGGTCTCCTAGTAGGCCTCCAAAATCCTGGATCTTGGTCTTTCACCAAACTACACAAACCTAATATTCCACTTAGACTCATTATTTCATCTATTGGCACCAACTATAACTGCTGAATTTCTGGTTCCCATTTTGTCTCCTTTAACTACCTATCAGTATACCATTGAAAATTCCACAGCCTTTGCTAATGAAATCACATCCCCTGACCTCAAACAAGCCATCACTATGGCAAGTTTTGATGTGGAATCGTTGTTTGCCAACGTCCCCCTTCTAAAAACCACAGATATTATAACTAACAACATAAATTACCCCTTAATTAGGATTTGTCACTTTTTACATACTGCTTTTCTCCACTTCTTTCGGTCTTGTGCCCACTGTTCTTCAATATTCCTTTTCTTCACGTCGGCCATCACACAATCCAGCCACATCTTTCTTTGTCTTCCTCTGCTCGGCTTTCCAGAGATAGGCAGATCTATCGCTTTCCGTATGCCTTCTTCCTCATGCCTTCTTTTCACATGGCCGAACCATGTGAGTCTTGCCTGTTCGATCTTGCTACTAATGCTTGTGACTCCTGCTTCAGCTAACACCTCTTCGTTTGTTCTCTGCTCTCTTAGACTGATTTCCAACATCCACCTCAGCATTCTCATATCCGTTCTCTGCAGCAGGCTCTCTTCTTTTTTTCTTAAGGCCCAAGTTTCTGCTCCGTACAATAACACAGGTCTTATCACAGCTTTGTACATTTTCGCCTTCAGCTTGGCTGTTAACTTTTTGTCGCCCATCATAGAAACCTCTCGCCACTAGGCCCATGCTGCCTTCACACGGTCTTTCACTGCTCTCTCACATCCTCTTTCACTTACCATCGTGCTGCCGAGATACTTGAATTCGTCAACTTGGTCATACTTTGCGCCGCTCTCCTCCTTGATGTTTATCTTTCTTCTTGCTCCTTTGCTACTTTTCATGTCTTCTTCATGTTCAATTTTAGCCCTCGACCCTCGAGTGCCTTTTTCCACTTCCTGAGCTGTGCTTCCAAGTTCTTTTCACTCGTCGATGAAATGACCAAGTCGTCGGCGAACAACATTTCCCAGAGCAATCCTCCTCCACACTCCTCGCTCATCACGTCGATAATTATGATGAACAGGAGTGGACTCACGCTTGATCCTTGGTGAAGGCCGACTTTCACTTCAAATTCTTCCGATGTTCCCTGTGGCGTTCTGATCATTGTGGTTATACTTTCGTAGGTATCCTTCACTCTGGAACTCCTTTCTTCCATAGACACCAGTAGACCAGCTCTCTGGGCACCCTATCATATACCTTTTCCAAATCAACAAAGGCATGTTATAGGTTCTTGTCGCCTTCCAGATGTTTCTCTTGGAGCTGCCTGTGTATAAATACAGCATCAGTTGTGCCTCTCCCTGGTCTAAAGCCAAACTGCATGTTTCCTATATCCACCACTTCTCGGATCTTCTGGTCCAGGATCTTTTCCTCAACTTTCAAGAGGTGTTCCAAGAGCTTGATACCACGGTGGTTCCCACATTCTAATACATCGCCTTTCTCTTTATACACTGGCACTAGTATACTTGTCCACCAATCTTCTGGGATGTTCTCTCCATTCCAATTCTTTTTTAAGATCTCGTGGGTCCACATCGCACCTTCACTCCCCAAGGCATCCAACATCTCTACCACCACCTCCGATGTGCCTGCTGACTTGTTCTTCTTCATCTTCTTGAGGACGGCTGACACCTCCTGCAGGCTTACTTGCTGTTTCAAACCTTCCACTGCTGGTAGTTCTGTTAGCTCTTCCCATTCGTTCTCTACATTCAACAGGTGTTCAAAATATTTTCTCCATCTCCTTAGCACTTCTTCCTTCTCTGCCAGAATCCGTCCGTCTTCACTCTTCAACACAGTCATTTTTGGGATGTCTCTCTTTGCTCTTGCATGCTGTTTGGCCATTTTATAAATTCTCTTTTCTCCCTCTGATGTTTCCATCTCTGCTTACCAGTCTCGAACTGCTTCGTCTTTGGCTGCTGCCACGGCCCTTTTTGTCTCTCACTTCGCCACTTTGTACCGGTTCCTTTTCTCCAGGCTCTCCTTGTCATCCTGCCACTCCTTGAAAGTTTTCTTCTTTTCCTTGCTCTTCTCCCGCACCTTTTCCATCCACCACCATGTTTCTTGTTCTCCTGCTCCTCTCCTACTTGTTCTTCCACATAGCTTTTCTGCCACTTCCACCGTTGCATCCTTTAACCCATTGCCGCCGGGGATGGCATGTACGTACATGCCATGCCCACTGTGAGTCGATTTGTTCGATTGTTTTTACACATAGATGGCTACACTTGTACTAAGTATCCAATGAGCCAATTACGAGTACTGCCTGTCTCTCCCATTCACCCTTTGCATCGATTTACGAAAATATTTAACGTTATCCTAATTTGCTGTTAAAAATAACACCATCTATATTTATAGCACTGTTAAAAATACGTTTTTTCCCGCCAATTCAAGGAAATTGAAATCAGGACTAGCAGAGCCATCTATGGACAGAGATATTTCACAAAAGTATAAAAAATGAGTCATGCATTTCCCCCATTTTTTGTTAATTTTCCCTGGCGGCAATGGGTTAAGGCCTTCCACATTTCGGTTGCTGTCTCTCTCTTCGCTCTCTTCAGTCTCTCTCCCACTTACCTTTTGTATTCTCCTACACATTCCCGTAGTTTCCACACCTTCTGCAGCTTCTTTCCTGTTGTTTCTCCTTTCCTTTTCTTAGAGAACATCCCATCCATGACCAGCAGTCTGTGCTGGTGAGCAACTGCCTCACCGGGAATCACTTTTGCATCTCTTACGTTTTTACGGGTTCTCTTCCTCACCACTAGGAAGTCGATCTGGGAACTGCTATCTCCACTTCGGTATGTTGTTAGATGTTCATCTCTCTTCTTGAATCCGGTGTTTGCCAAGACCATTTCCAAGCTCTCCAATGTCTCTAGCATTTTCTCTCCTTCCTCGTTTCTCAGGCCAATCCAAAACCGCCATGACATGCTTCATAACCTACTGCTGTTTCTCCTACATGACAGTTCAGATCAGCTCCTAGGATGATTTCTTCTTCCTTAGGGATCTCTCTAACACTTTGTTCAAGTTGTTCTCTGAACTCTTCCTTCTCTTGATCTTCACAGCCAATCTGTGGAGCGTAACTACTCACGATGTTGATTAGACTCTTTCCTGCTAGCACCTTAATTGACATCAACCTGTCTGAGGGCCTTTGGACTTCCACCACCCTTTGCTTGAGCTCTTCATCGAGGATGATACCTACGCCGTTTCCTCCCGGTCTGCTTCCGGAGTAGTACAGCTTATAACCTTCTCCAATCTCCCTTACTCCGCCGCCCTTCCACCTTACTTCTTGCACACAGAGTATTTTCACTTTTCTCTGCTTCATGGTCTCTGCTATCTCCCTGCTTCTTCCAGTCATTGTGCCGATGTTCCAAGTGGCACATTTCCACTCTCCAACTCGCTTCTTTAACCGTCGTCGCTGGGCCGACGGTACCCGTTGCATATTTATCACACCGTCCTGAGGTTGACGGTGCGCGTCGCATACAGGGGACGCCCTAGCATTTTCCGAGGCTAGCAGTACGTGGTTTCAATCCCTGTTCTTCGTAGGGTGTTTTTACGCTTGGCTTACGAGGCCTGACAGCAACCCTCCTCCTTTCTCAACCTGGGCTTGGGACTGGCTATGGCGGAGTTGTGCTGTTTAAAGACCCCTTGCAACAAAATAAGCAACTACCCTTTTTAGACACCTGTCATACCAATGATAATGGATGTTTCCATCCCAGCATTTACCACAAACCAACCTTCACTGGCCTCGGCCTTCATTTTATCAGCAATATCCCATACATTTATAAAATCAACAGCATAAAAACCCTCATCACTCGAGCTTATAATCTTTGCAGCAACTGGTCCACTTTTTATGATTTATAATTGATAATTTTTCTAAAAAACTTCTTTGTAAGTAATAGGTACCCGATGTATCTATTTGATAAAATGACAACGACCTTTCTTTGTAAAAAAAAAAAAAAATCTCAGATCAACCTGTTGTATCAACTATTAAAAGGAATAATATATATGTAAAACTGCCATTTATGGGGAAATTAAGCTTTAAAGTCAGAAAACATTTAAAAACGCTTCTACAAAACAATTACCCTCTAAATAAATTTCACTTTTGTCTTCAGCAATTCTAACACTTGCAAATTTCTTAAAACAGCCTACAAGATGCGAGGTGCGTGTGGTCCACCTCACGATGGTTATGTCACCGCAAAGGAAAGGCATTTCGTATGGGACTACTGCTGAGCGGACCATCTTTCTCGGCCATAAGAGAGCATTCTCACTAACACTTACATCCTTTTCCAACACAGATTTCAATATTCTATCTTCTCATTCCTCTCGCCTAGATCTCGGAATCTTTGTTGACCCAAAAGATGAAACCAGAGCTCAACAACAACACTACTGCAACCACCTTGTTTACAAATTAGCAGTTTTCACTCTCCTGAACCATGTTGATTAATTCTTTCATATCTTTATTCCTGTTTTTTTTCCCCATTGTTCATAAGCGTATGTCTAGTTTATCTTTTTTTCCCCACATTTTGTTGTTATTATTGATCTTGTTTTTATTCGAATTATCTCACTACCAATTTTAATTTAGATAACCTCTTTAATTAATTTTGTTCTATTGTCTAATGCACGTTATTTTTGGTTCACTATTGCAGCACTGATGATGAAGATATGATTTATCCTTGAAACGTTTGCAAATAAACATAAAATTAATCACAGCCGTATTAGTCCACCTCTTCGTTATATACATATATACACACATTAATATATATATATATATATATATATATATATATATATATATATATATATATATATATATATACATATATATAAACATACATATAAACATATACTTGTATATCTATCTATCGAGAATTCGATCTATCTATATATATGTAAATGTATATATGTGTGTATGTATATAGTGGATATATCTATATCTATCTTTCTGTACGTGTGTGTGTGTTTCTGTGTAAGACTGTCGCGATGGTCCAATGGTTAGAGCACTGGTCTCCGACCCTCATGGTCCCGAGTTCAATTCCCCGCCATGACTGCTGGCTTAAGCCCGATCTCACAGCATGAAAATGACTTGAGAAATCAAATCGTAGGTGTCATAGGCGAAGTCATCGCCGTAGCATAGGTGTTAGCACGTCGAACTGCAGTTGATTAGGAAGGGCATCCAATCAGGAAAGGGTGGCGCTGCCAAATAAGCTCTCAGTAGTGAACTGAGAGAGGCCTATATACTGCAGTGGAGTGAATGGCTGTTGATAAAAAATATATATATATGTACATAAACATAGATATAGACATATATATAAGCAAATAAATACATGAATGATGGAAACACTCTACCGTGTTGATACTATGGTAGAAAAACCCTCAATGTAAAAACTAGATTTATTGAAGATGAGACAACAGTTTCGGAATCCATCCTCAGGTCTGAAGAGGAAAGGGAGAGGAAGGGGTATAAAAGAGAGAGAGGACAGGCAACGCGGTGACACGGGGTAGGTGAGGACAAACGAACGGAAGCGAAGGGAGGTCAGATCAGGTCGGAGCGGATTGTGTGTAAGATGGCCGGCGTACGGGAGAAGGCAGAGGATGTGGGAAGCGTGGAGACTGTCGGCAGGAGAAAAGCCACTGTTCAAGTTGAAATTAGGCAGCAGCTTTATTAAGGAAGATTCCACCAGTCTGCGGGCGTGGACGTCAGCGGAAGGAAAGACAATTCGCGCCGCTGACCAGTCCATCTGATGGCCTGTATCCCACTGATGGCAGAAGAGAGCGTTGTTGTTGTGTCCCCTGGATATAGCATACGTATGTACGAGGAACAGAATAGGTGCCCACCTTGCAGCCTGCAGTTGAGAGTATGAAAAGGGCTGAGGACGGGCAGGTGAGGAGTCTCTTTAGGAGAGGATTCGTGGTAGAAGGTCCGCCGTGCTCTGGATAGCGCGGCGTCGAGGACATGACGAGGGTAGCCCAGTTTGGAGAACGAACGACGCAGAAAGTCGATCTCTCCATCCAGGTACTGCGGGTCACAGATGCGGAGGGCGCGGAGGAACAGCGACGTGGCATCACCTCTCTTTACATGGAGAAGATGGTAAGAGAAGTGTATGTACATACCACTATGCATGGACTTCCTGTATATGGAGAAGGAGAGGTGGTCAACAGAGCAATGAACTAGGGTGTCCAAGAAGGGGAGCTTAGTGTCAACCTCCCATTCCACCTTGAAACGGATGGAAGGGGTGAGAGAGTTCAGTTGGGACAGGAAGTCTGAGAACAGGGCAGGGTCATGAGGCCAGAGAGCGAAGACGTCACCAGCATACCTCAGCCAAACCGTCGGACGAAAGGAGATGAAAGGGAGAAGCTCAGATTCGAAGAATTCCATAAACAGGTTACCCAAGACCGGAGAGAGGGGAGAGCCCATGGCAACACCGAAGGTCCTTGGTGAACAGGGAGTCGACATCCAAGCTTATCATGGTTGCCGGCGGGACACCACGGACACGGGAGATGAAGTCCTGGGAATGACGGAGGTGAGCAGGAGAGAAGGTGCCGAGAAGGGGAGTGAGGAACTTCGCCAGCTAAGCTGCCAGAGGGTGCATCACAGATCCCCGGGAAGAGATAATGGGGCGCAGGGGCATGGCCGGCTTATGGGTTTTAGGAAGCCCATAGAAGTGAGGGAGGCGAGGGTTGATGACCTTGAACCTCTGGTAGAGGTTCGCCTCACAGGCCTTCTGCAGGTAGGAGGCACGGTCGAAGACCACCACCGAGTTGCCCTTGTCAGAAGGCAAAATGGTGACATCCTCCCTGCGCAGGCTTTGAAGGGCCTCACGGTAACATAAAACAAAAATAATATAAAATTGACGATGTCTGAGATTAAATAGAAAAAATCAGAGGTATGGCTAAACAAGGTTTGAGAAGCGCAAGGCGAGTGGGAGTGTGTCTCTATAAGCCTCTAATCTTTGTTGGCGATATTAAACTGGAACGACACAGCAAATCAGCAAAAATAAGAAATAAAAAGAAAAAAATCGGTGGCTTCTATAGCTGTTGGACGTGTATCTGAGTAAAGGTTCATTATATATACATGTAACGTTCTAAATGTGTGTAAATCTTCTACTGTCACCAAAATCCATACATCTTCAACGTTAGAAAAAATCTCAGCAGGATTTTCATTAACTCGGGCTTTACCAACCTCAAGATTTAGCAGCTTAAAGAGATTTACGATTCTAGAGGTAAATTACAATTGCATTACAGATCAGAAAAAACTCTAATCCCTGATAAGCAGTGGCTGTAAGTGATATCTTTTACTGCCAAATATGGATATTACCTTTGCCTATAAGTAGGCGTCTGAAGGCAGAGGTGCAGCACAAGGCGCCTCCAGCTCCTGCCGAGAACCCCTTCCTCTCTCCCTCGCTAAGTCGGTCTCGAACTCGAGCTCGTTTGGTCCTCCTCGAAATGAGGGCTGGCAGAGTGCTCGCGCTGCTGGCTGCTGCCGTGGCCCTGGCTGAAGGTAAATGTTTACGTTAATGCACGTACCTGCAGTACACCTACATGCAGGAACATGCGTGTGTGTATGTGCATATGTGTATATTTATATGTATATATATACACACACACGCAAACACACACGTTCACGGGTGTCTGTGAAATATAGTATAAAATTTCCATTTGGTAGTGAAGAATTCATTTAAGTGCTTATTGATACTGAACTGTCTGTTGGGACTGCGGTATATTCAACAAAACTCACAAAAGCACAACGCAACACTGATAAACAGCCCAGTTCGAGAGCAATGATAATGACAACATTCCTATAAAAGAGGGCCTCTCTCCGCCATTTCAGGCCATAGCATCTGCACCACGTTGACTTGTCCTGAACCCAACGGCCTCTTCGCGCACCCGACGGCCTGCCACCGCTATGTCAAGTGTGCCAACGGCCACGCCTACGTCGAGACCTGCCCCGCCAACCTGCACTTCAACGAGGCTACTTCGAGCTGTGACTATCCGGACAACGCTAAGGTAAGACCAAACATGTCAAACTGTCTATACACACACACATATATTATATATATATTATATATAATGTATATCATATATATTATATATATATATTATATATATTATGTATATCATATATATATATATTATATATATTATGTATATCATATATATTATGTATATTACATATATTATATATATATAATATATCATGTATATCATATATATTATATATATTATGTATATCATATATATTATATATATGTATATATTACATATATATATATATATATTTGTATGTGCATACAGACACACACACATATGTATATATGTATATATACAGTTTATATATATACATATATGTAAATAAATATGTATATGTTTAAATCAATACGTGTATACATATATGTATATATACATATGTAAATGAATATGTATATTGAATGTATAAATATATATATATATATCTACATATAAGTAAATGAATATGTATATATGTATATTAATAAATGTATACATATATGTATATATTCATTTGTGTTTATATGTATATATGTATATATATATATCCTCACTCTATATATATATATACATATATATGTGTGTGCGTGTGCGTGTGCGTGAGTGTGTGTGCGCACATGCATATATATTATAATACTTCTTTTTACTATATATAAAACAATTTCAGCAGTAGATTGCCTACAGTCAGTTTAAATCAATACAAACTTCAGAGACGTTCAAAATAACCACATCCTTCCAGTGTGACATCACCAAGCGACTGGAGACCGAAGGATGTTCCCTTCGGTCCGCAAAGGCCAGTCGATCCTTGCCCAGAGAGTCGGACCTTTCAGTCCAGTGCGACTGCGACTGCTGCCTCAAGCCACACAAGGACTGCAACAAATACTACGAGTGCAAGGTAGGAGGGACGACGCCCCCTGAAGGCTCTTCAGTTATTGTGCTCAGATTGGCTTCAGTGTATGGGAAACATCATCACTGTTTCCTCACTATTGCAGGCTAACATTATCAATAACTGATTTACGAAAGATAAAAGTAGATTTTTGCATATCAGCTAAAGGATAAAAATTGCTCAGGGTAGACTCACTTGGATTAATCATTTCAAAATATTATTTTTCTTTTCTCTTGTTAAAGGATAATGTTGCCTACGTTAAAGAGTGCGGAGGTGACTTGGTGTTCAATCCTGCAAAAGAACAGTGCGACCTTCCAACCAATTATGAATGCCCCAAGCCAGTGATTTGCGGCTGCCATTGCCGATACCCAGTCGACGGAGAGTGCAGTGCTTACTATGACTGTAAGTAATCAATAAAATGCTACCACTTCATGTTATTTTACAAATACCAACTAATAATGTTGTTTGTCAATACTCTTGTTTTAATTACTCCTTTTGATTCATAAATTACCTTTTGTTCTGATATACTTTTCCATCATCAGATTCTGTATGCTGTTATTAACATGAATAGATAACATATTGCATATTATTTTGTACTGCTTACGAAGTGACACAACCTTGAACATTGAACATTTTCAAGTTCAATAAATTTGTATAAACTTTCACAGGCAAGGACAACGAGGCGGAGAAGAAGTACTGCTCAGAAGGCCTGCTGTTCAACCCCGATACCCGTATGTGCGACATCGCTGCCAATGTTGACTGCCCGACTGAGCCTCCAACAACTGGAACTTGCGATGAAAACGTCTTCGATTCCGACGTTAGTTGCTCTTTCTATTTCTCTCTCCTATAATGGATGCTATTAAGCTAATTGCAGACATCAGTTACCGATGTTACCATAGTCATGGCACTCATTCAAATGCCTTATCAACAGCCTGACTGCAAGTTCTGGGCCGCCAACAACGACTGTCACTGCAAGTGGACAGATGGTGACTGCTCCTGGCAGCACTTTGTCGCCCGTGCATGTCCCCGTAGCTGCGCCTGTCAAGACCATGTGGACGTCAGCAAGCCTCCTGTAATTGAATACCCTTGCGTGGACTGCTCTACCGGACAACAGTACTGGCAGCATCCCAGCGACTGCCGCAAGTTCATCCAGTGCGCACCCTACGGACCTCAGGAGATGCCATGTGGAGAAGGAACAGTGTGGGACCAAAACCTGCTCACCTGCAACCATGCATGGGCTACCCAGTGCTTGACAGGCAACTTCCTTCTCGCTAACGGAAGCTGTTCAGGATGCTCAGGATGTACTCCTCCAGCAAAGCCCACATCCAGGCCTCCTACCCAGAAACCTGTCACACCAGGCAACTTCCCATGTGTGGATTGTTCCACTGGCCAGCAATACTGGCAGCATCCTACCGACTGTCACAAGTTCATTCAGTGTGCACCTTATGGCCCCCAGGAGATGCCATGCCCTGCAGGAACCAGGTGGGACCAGAAGATCCTCACTTGCAACCATGAATGGAACACCCCATGTGTCACAGGCAACTACCTTTTGGATGATGGAAGCTGTTCGGGTTGTACTGATTGTGCTCCTCCACCAACCTCAAGCCCAGACAGTTGCAGTGGCGAGCACCCAGACTGCAAGCATTGGGCTGCCAATGGGGACTGCACCTGCAAGCCAAACACTGACTGTTATTGGCAGAATGAAGTGGCTAGAATGTGCCCTAAGACCTGCCGAGGAGAGTGTGGGGATAAACCAGCTACTCCACCAACTGATGATTGCATTAAATGTCCTAATTATAGTGGTCTTTTCCCACACCCGAAAGACTGCACCAAATGGGTTCACTGCGACCACTTCATCCCATACGTGAAGGACTGCCCTGCGAATCTGCACTTTAATCCAACACTTAAGGTAAACAAAGATTTTATTAGTAGGACAACAATCATTTGGAATAACACTTCATATAGTACACACATATTTGAAACAATATCTTAAGAAATGATATGCACATATTCTTTTCCTTCATGTTGGCTACCCTTCCATGTTGTCTAATTGTCTGCATTTTGAAAAGGTATGTGACTGGTCATGGCGTGCAGGCTGTACCTCCGGTAACAATGGTGACTGCGTCATCCCACCTGACCCAGAACCAACTGGCCCCCCAACCCCACCGCATCCTGATTGCACATGTGAATGTTGCCACATTCCTCACCCAGAGGACTGCACATCCTATTATTACTGTGATGTAAGTTGTCTTTTTATATTCATCCTTTAAATTTGCCGTTTCACATTAATGGCACATGATATATTTAGGTGTGTTGCAATGAGATATCTGTTATATAACATCTAAGACGCACTGACTTTAAATATTAAACCATTTTCAGGTGAACAAGAACAGGACCTTCCACACATGCTCTGAAGGCCTTGTATTTAATCCGGATTTAGATACATGTGTTCTCGCTGACCAATACCCACAATGTGTCATTGAAAAGCCTCCAAAGTGCGAGTGCGACTGTCACTATCCCTCTGAGATTTGCAGCGAATATTACATTTGTAAGTAACGATTTTTATTTTCATGAACTAAAATACCAAACTTCAAGCACATCTCTTCTTTGCCTTATACTGAACACTAATGTTTTATATCCGAGCATATCTCTATGCACTTAATGATTTCACAATTTTCCCCAGGCAACAATGGTGTACCTGAGAAGACGGAGTGCCCCTCTGGTCTCCTCTGGAACCAAGCGGTAAAGTCATGTGACCTTCCTCAGAACGTCCAGTGCGCAACAAGGCGAAAGTAAGATGCCCAACAGGAAAACGATTAGCAGAAGGAAAATTGATAGAAAATGAACGTAATGTTCTAGATATTCGGAATGGTCTGGTAGAGTTTAGACTTATTTACCAGCATGCACTAGATATTGTGGTTTGTAATTATACTTTAATTATACACTTTACTTGGATCTTCCCATATGTTTCATCAAAATCTTTGTTATCAACTGGTAAAGTCTATTAAATGTAAATAATATTTTTTACTGTTTCACTACCTTATTACTTCACTGTGTTATGCTCAGTACCAACAGGAGCAGAAGTATTATAAAAAAAGGATAAGTAAAAATACCATGAGCTTTTGCTTTGTATCTTTAGAATATACTGTAGGTGCAAGATATATCAATGGAATTCCCTACATTAAGAAGCAAAGACAAAGCTTGCGGCCTCAACACACTTTGCAAGCCATGTAATAGTCCTTCACTGGATATGCTTCCTATTCGACACAGAATCCTATCACTGGCCCGGCATGACACCAGGAGCCACTGAGGGCATGGCATACCAGAAGGACCTGACTGTGTGTGTGTGTGTGTGTGTGTGTGTGTGTGTGTGTGTGTGTGTGTGTGTGTGTGTGTGTGTGTGTGTGTGTGTGTGTGTGTGTGTGTGTGTGTGTGTGTGTGTGTGTGTGTGTGTGTGTGTGTGTGTGTGTGTGTGTGTGTGTGTGTGTGTGTGTGTGTGTGTGTGTGTGTGTGTGTGTGTGTGTGTGTGTGTGTGTGTGTGTGTGTGTGTGTGTGTGTGTGTGTGTGTGTGTGTGTGTGTGTGTGTGTGTGTGTGTGTGTGTGTGTGTGTGTGTGTGTGTGTGTGTGTGTGTGTGTGTGTGTGTGTGTGTGTGTGTGTGTGTGTGTGTGTGTGTGTGTGTGTGTGTGTGTGTGTGTGTGTGTGTGTGTGTGTGTGTGTGTGTGTGTGTGTGTGTGTGTGTGTGTGTGTGTGTGTGTGTGTGTGTGTGTGTGTGTGTGTGTGTGTGTGTGTGTGTGTGTGTGTGTGTGTGTGTGTGTGTGTGTGTGTGTGTGTGTGTGTGTGTGTGTGTGTGTGTGTGTGTGTGTGTGTGTGTGTGTGTGTGTGTGTGTGTGTGTGTGTGTGTGTGTGTGTGTGTGTGTGTGTGTGTGTGTGTGTGTGTGTGTGTGTGTGTGTGTGTGTGTGTGTGTGTGTGTGTGTGTGTGTGTGTGTGTGTGTGTGTGTGTGTGTGTGTGTGTGTGTGTGTGTGTGTGTGTGTGTGTGTGTGTGTGTGTGTGTGTGTGTGTGTGTGTGTGTGTGTGTGTGTGTGTGTGTGTGTGTGTGTGTGTGTGTGTGTGTGTGTGTGTGTGTGTGTGTGTGTGTGTGTGTGTGTGTGTGTGTGTGTGTGTGTGTGTGTGTGTGTGTGTGTGTGTGTGTGTGTGTGTGTGTGTGTGTGTGTGTGTGTGTGTGTGTGTGTGTGTGTGTGTGTGTGTGTGTGTGTGTGTGTGTGTGTGTGTGTGTGTGTGTGTGTGTGTGTGTGTGTGTGTGTGTGTGTGTGTGTGTGTGTGTGTGTGTGTGTGTGTGTGTGTGTGTGTGTGTGTGTGTGTGTGTGTGTGTGTGTGTGTGTGTGTGTGTGTGTGTGTGTGTGTGTGTGTGTGTGTGTGTGTGTGTGTGTGTGTGTGTGTGTGTGTGTGTGTGTGTGTGTGTGTGTGTGTGTGTGTGTGTGTGTGTGTGTGTGTGTGTGTGTGTGTGTGTGTGTGTGTGTGTGTGTGTGTGTGTGTGTGTGTGTGTGTGTGTGTGTGTGTGTGTGTGTGTGTGTGTGTGTGTGTGTGTGTGTGTGTGTGTGTGTGTGTGTGTGTGTGTGTGTGTGTGTGTGTGTGTGTGTGTGTGTGTGTGTGTGTGTGTGTGTGTGTGTGTGTGTGTGTGTGTGTGTGTGTGTGTGTGTGTGTGTGTGTGTGTGTGTGTGTGTGTGTGTGTGTGTGTGTGTGTGTGTGTGTGTGTGTGTGTGTGTGTGTGTGTGTGTGTGTGTGTGTGTGTGTGTGTGTGTGTGTGTGTGTGTGTGTGTGTGTGTGTGTGTGTGTGTGTGTGTGTGTGTGTGTGTGTGTGTGTGTGTGTGTGTGTGTGTGTGTGTGTGTGTGTGTGTGTGTGTGTGTGTGTGTGTGTGTGTGTGTGTGTGTGTGTGTGTGTGTGTGTGTGTGTGTGTGTGTGTGTGTGTGTGTGTGTGTGTGTGTGTGTGTGTGTGTGTGTGTGTGTGTGTGTGTGTGTGTGTGTGTGTGTGTGTGTGTGTGTGTGTGTGTGTGTGTGTGTGTGTGTGTGTGTGTGTGTGTGTGTGTGTGTGTGTGTGTGTGTGTGTGTGTGTGTGTGTGTGTGTGTGTGTGTGTGTGTGTGTGTGTGTGTGTGTGTGTGTGTGTGTGTGTGTGTGTGTGTGTGTGTGTGTGTGTGTGTGTGTGTGTGTGTGTGTGTGTGTGTGTGTGTGTGTGTGTGTGTGTGTGTGTGTGTGTGTGTGTGTGTGTGTGTGTGTGTGTGTGTGTGTGTGTGTGTGTGTGTGTGTGTGTGTGTGTGTGTGTGTGTGTGTGTGTGTGTGTGTGTGTGTGTGTGTGTGTGTGTGTGTGTGTGTGTTGTTTGAGTGTGCGTGAGTGCTTTATGTGTCTGCTTAATCTCATGTAAATGTCAACGATAATATACACAAAAACGGATTACCATAATCCAGAACTTTCTTATCAGATTCTTAGAAACAAAGCTTGCGGCCTCAACACACTTTGCAAGCCATGTAATAGTCCTTCACTGGATATGCTTCCTATTCGACACAGAATCCTATCACTGGCCCGGCATGACACCAGGAGCCACTGAGGGCATGGCATACCAGAAGACTGTGTTGCTGTTGGCGAGCTGAATTTGTTAATTTGATAACCTAAGATGCTATTTGGTCAATATGCAGTGTTCATGTTGACATTAAATTTGTTCAGTTCATATTCTTCTGTCTAGTGATGATAGACATAAATGATTTAAAAATTAGTATTTTGAGAAGGATTTTGAAATATGTTAAATATGGATCATATTATGCTCAAAAGTCAACAGCAATATTTGCATCGTATGTGTGTATACATACACATTTATGTATACATAGATATACATACATATGTATATGTGTACACATATATATACACACACATGTACATATATATACATATATATACACACACATGTACATATATATACATATATATACACACACATGTACATATATATACATATATATACACACACATGCATATGTGTATATATATATGTGTGTATGTATGTATGTGTGTGTGTATGTGTATGCATATAAACGTGTATATACATATATATACACACACATGTACATATATATACATATATATACACACACATGCATATGTGTATATATATATGTGTGTATGTATGTATGTGTGTGTGTATGTGTATGCATATAAACGTGTATATACATATATATACACACACATGTACATATATATACATATATATACACACACATGTACATATATATACATATATATACACACACATGTACATATATATACATATATATACACACACATGCATATGTGTATATATATATGTGTGTATGTATGTATGTGTGTGTGTATGTGTATGCATATAAACGTGTATATACATATATATACACACACATGCATATGTGTATATATATATGTGTGTTTGTATTTATGTGTGTGTGTTTGTTTGAGTGTGCGTTAGTAGTTTTATGTGTCAACTTAACCTCATATAAATGTCAACGATGATATACAGAAAAACGGATTACCATAATCCAGAATTTTCTTATCAGATTCTTAGAAACAATGATTAAGAGGCCCACTAACTTCTAATGCTAACTGATCACTGATACATACACATATATGTATATATACACACACATGTACATATATATACATATATATACACACACATGCATATGTGTATATATATATGTGTGTATGTATGTATGTGTGTGTGTATGTGTATGCATATAAACGTGTATATACATATATATATATTCATACACACACATATATATGTACGTGTATATACACATATCAACTTCCTCTCTCCACGTAGCTGATGGATCCAAGGCATAGACCGATTCAGTTTGGCACCTGCGACGTTATAGTGTCAGACTTTGACACACACTATTTACTGTTTAATCACCTTTACTGAGATATGCCGACGGAGCGGGCTGAGCGGTAAGCACTCTCCGAAGGCACGGTGGGTTTGGGATAAATATCATTCATGAAATTTCCGTACATCAATATATATATCGAACCCTTTTGGTTCCCTAAGGTTACGTTATGTACACAACGGGGTCAACTTGTACTACGCAAACTTAACACTCCCCGTGTGGAAAATCAAAGAGGAGCCTGGGCACAACTCCTCGCTAAAAAGAACACTGCTACAATGAGAAATAAACAAACACATAAAACTAATATATAATAAAAGAGCTTGGATATATACACATAAACGATAAAAATATAACAAAGCCAGCATATACTACTGGTGCACACATAACTTATCTTACAACAGGTTGTGCCTCGAATCCTCCGTTCGTCACCGTAAAACACCATAAGTACAAGTACAAGATACAAAGCTCGACTACGGCCTCTCTCTATGCCTGCAGCAAGGGTTATCCTAAGCAAGCAGTCTTCCGCAAAGGATCTCTGGCTTATTGCTAGAACAACCCCTGGTTTAGCCAATTAACCTATGGATTGGGAGGGAGAGAGAGTACCTGTAGCCCGGGCCGTGCGAGCGTGACTCCCTTGTCTATCTCCCATACCTCTGTCATCGTCTCAGAGGCGGGAACAAGCAGTTAAGAGATTGAGGTTCTGGAGGCTTATGATATAATAAAATAAAAACATCTCTCCATGTACGATTTAGGGCACTAATGACGTGGAATAAAAGCAAACAAAGTATATACATTCATGTTATTAAAATGAATAAATAAAATAAAATAAATCTTCGTTGTAACGTCCATGGGGGGGGGGGTTGTCCACGGTAGTGGTCCCTGGAGGTGACAAGGGAAGAGTCCAGGCATCCAGCCCTGCCACGAATTGCTTGTGAACCCCCTTGATGATCGCGTTTTCTTGTGGTTCACTACAACGTCGCAGGAGTTGCCAAAAACTGCCTTCGGGACTCTGGCTCCGGGATTTTTCTTCAGGGCTGACTCCCGCAGCCTGTCCATCCCATAGATGCCACAAAGCAGTGGATTGTTTTGTATAGGGTGAACTCCTATAGCC